CCCCAAAACCCCAAAACCCCAAAACCCCAAAACCCCAAAACCCCTCGATTTAAGAATTTGGTTGAAAATTTAATAATTAATTTAATTAATATTAGTCAATACTAAGAAATGGACCAACAACAAGACACCCAAAAGACAATTACCTCATTAGATGAGCTGAAGAGACTTGAACTAAGGTTCATGATGGCAGAAGATGCAAAGATAGAGCAGGTTTTGCAGGTTATATTCCAAGACATCCTTTCTAAATTCTTTGAGCAAGACATTCTCGAAGTGTTCTCATTAGGAGCAACTGAGAAGATCAAGACTCTTGTTAGTATATGTAATCATATTAATGACCGAGTTGAGACTTCTCAGGAGAGTCTGAAGATTCCTATCTACCCAATTCTTGAATTTATCACTCATCCCGATTTTTCTAATAACATTCACTTAAATAAGATAATTCAGCTGTATTTACAGGAAACATTGTATTCATTTTTGATTAAAAGCCTCCAACAAGAACCTTCTCTCAAGAGAAGCTGTATCGGAATGCTATTCAAAAGTTGAATGGTGGAAAATATTACTCCTCAGTTCCAGTACAAATTGTTCTTTCTGTTCATTCACTGAATGCCTTCTCTTTCTAAGGAACCTATTGATGAACTGAGAAAACAGGGATTTCCTGGAATTCTTGCTCAGAATATTCCTAAATTTAAAGAAATGAGTAACCACGTGTTGTACTATTACAATTACATTAGTCAAACAAAGGATAATATGAAGGAGAAGGTCACTAAATTTACCCAACAAATAATCTCTAAGGATCGTGATCCTTGTCTCGTTAAATTTGGAGGAACTAAAATGAGCGTGAATGATTCACTAAAGTATCTCCAGACCAATCTACTGCAGTTTATATCACTAGGTTTCACCATAAAAGAAGAGGTAGAAGAAGAGAAAGAAGATCAGAAAGATGATCAGAAAAGATATCCAGAATATAGTTATCATATTATCCCATCCCTCATGATTAGCACTGCATCAGTTATTAATGAGGTTAATGAGAAAGCTAAAATCATTCTGAAAGGGTTTGAAAAACACAGTGACATTGATCAATCTTCTGCAGAAATTAAATCCATTCATAGTCAAAGTGATGAAGAAAGTGTTAAAATGGCAACTAACTCAGGGCTTAATGCGGTCTCTGTATGGTCTGATATCATGAAATACTATCTTGATATGACTAGAAACTCAATGGCACAATCATTAGCAAGGTTTGATGAGCAAACAAAGAAGACAATTATTTTATTTTCAAGAAATCTTAAAAGAAATGTGTTAGAATATGCTCTGAAATGTGAGGTAACCGCTAAACTTCCTCAACTCCTGACTGCAATTAATGATCCCGGTCAGATTAGGCACCTCGGCTTGAAGTTTATTGATCATATGATAAAGCATCTGTTCACATACATGTCAGAGGAAATATCTATTACCAACGCAAAGACTATTTATGGACTTCTGTCAAAGATAATCGCCAGGGCTGGTTTCTTGAATGAAGATGAGAGATCTCTTGCATATCAATCATTAGTAGAAGTAGTTCTCAAGTATCCAAAATTACTTGAATTAGGTAAGAAAGATCCCTTAGAGCTAATGGATGAGACATTTAATGAGTTTCAAATAAGCAGTGATAACAAATCTTCACAAAATGAAGAAGTATATGCAAATTGGATAAAGTCTCTAGGAAGGCTCAAATTCTTATTTGAAAATAATTCTCAAAAAGGGTTTGCCATTGTCAAAATTACTGAGAGAATAGAAAATATTATCAATAATCATGGCATAGATGATGATTATTACTCAATGAATATCTTTATTTGAGTAGACTGGATCTCTTTTCTCAGTACTGATCAAGAAGTTCCATTCAACTTACTATATATTTGTATCATATTATCAAATGCAAATGATTTGAAGATCAAGGATGCTTCTAGTAGAATTCTTCAACCAATTTTAAATACCATTGAGAAAGAATTGAAGATCTTCTCTATAAAGAATGAGTTACAAGAATCCAAAATAGAGCACGAAGAAGAAAAGGTCGACACTTATCAGAGATCCCTATTTGTAAAGAAATCTTCCCAATATCCCATAAATTCATTGAAAGCTTACAACATCTCTCGTCAATTGTGAGTAGAGTCTTTAAAGATATTCAAGCTACTTAAATCTTCAGAAGAGCAAGATTCTTTACAGCCCCATTTAGAGTCACATTTCTTAAAGTTATTTGCACAGGAAAATCAGTCATATACTCAAAATTTAGGGGCGAGTCTCAACATTCTTCTTGACTACGTCAGATTCAAGCACTCATCTATACAGGGTGACTCTAAGATTTTCAGTGATATTGGAAATTACTTTTTCTTGGTAAACATTTTAAGAAACACAACTATTAGAGAAGAACGAAAAACCACCTTTGACATTCTTGAGATCCTTCTCAGTACTGGAGACTATGAGGAACTTAAAGAAACTCTTCTGGGAGCACTCGAAGATTTTGGATACAAGGATACGATTGATTTTGGTGTCGAGCAGCACTCTGCTATCTGAAATTTGACTGTGCTTTTGCTAAAACACTCCTTGGACAATAAACTTACTGGTAGTAAAACATACCAGGATTGATTAGATATTTTCTTTAAATTATGAAACGATTTCAACCAAATTTCAGATTACAAATACACAAATTTGGATAAAATCCATAATTTCGGTTACTGAATTAGTAGATTGGCCGAGAAATATGACCTCAGAATACTTGGGAATGATAATTCAGAATACTTTGATGACTTGCTTGCAAAGTTAATAGAAATTGTAGATAACAAAGACCTTGAAATAGAGTTCAGAAAAACTTGTATTGATGAGTACCTCAAAATGTAAGAGTATTATTTAATTAACTTTTAGGCTTCATAAAAACACAGATCTCTATATCGACCATCTCGCTTATTTACGAGAGCAATATATTGAATATGATCAATATGAACTTCACCGATCAATTGGAGCTAGTGCAAGCTATTTATTAAATAAGGAAGATTTGGAGAAATACTTTACAGAAGTGATTGGGACAATAAATTCTAAAGATTCCACGCTCATTGCAAAGAGAGCTTCTATCGTTCATTTAGCTGAGTTCATAATAGGTTCTCCTCTTTTGAAGCATTGTCAAGAAGAACTGACTAATTTTCAAAATATTTTCTTCAAGTATATGTTTGATAAAAAGGAGTTGATTCAAGAGTTAGCTTCTAATGTTTTGACTAAGCTATATCATATTGGAGATGCAGAAACTAAGAAGAAATTAGTTCAAAACTTATCCAAGGCCTTGGGAGGTTCTCAAACACTAACTCACATGCAGGAGAAGGAAGAAGATTTTGAATTAAATCTTGAATACAAACCTTCTACTGAAGAAAGCAAGAAGATGAAAACCTTTAAAGATTTGTGTGATATTGCTGCAGATGTAGGACACAGAGAGCTTGTCTACCAATTTTTGAATATCCACAGGAATCTTACTCAATATAAGAACATCCGAAAAGCAGCTGAAAGTTTGCATGGAATTCTTCTTGAAGATGAACAAGTCAGGAAAGATCTACTCAAGATGGTCCCGAAGTTGTTCTTAATGACATATGACTATAATGAAGAAATCAGAGATACGATGAAGGAAGTCATGAGTGTTTTAGTGACTGGAAAAGAAGAAAAACAAATCATCTTGGATAACTTTGATGATGTTGTAAAAGAGCTCTTTGATGCTATTAAGAATAAGAAAGAATTTAGAAAAAGGCTAGCTGCTCTCTATGCTTTATCTGACGTAATCTCTTGGCAAGAATGGGCTAAGATAAAGACTATCTTCTCGCAACTTTATGAGCTTAGCTTCAAAGGTATTGATGACCCTAATGATAATGTGAAAAAGGCTGCATTTGAGTTGATGAAGACACTGAAAAAGATTATTTTAAGGAATGGGAATATTTATACTTGAACCAACACGACAGAATTGAAGGAGATTTATGCGATTGTCCTACCAATGCTTCTTGAGAAGGGCATACTCTCACATATTGACATTGTGAAATACTACTCAGTAGTCCTTTTGTATGAAATCTTAGAAACCAGTAAGGAAGAGAGTGTTATCGATAAACTTAAAGTTAGAGGCAGCCGCGAAGATAGACAATTGAATTATACTTATAACAGCAAGCAAAAGATGAGAGAAATAATGGCTCCTTATTTGAAAAACATTGTTACATTAATAACAGAGTGAATTAGTGACTTTGAGACAAGAGAATGGAATAAGTTAGAGAATGAAGTAGTAGATCAGAAAGGGGCAAATTCCGACCAAGTGCAATACCTCAACGATATGCGGATCAAGAGTTCCAAAGAGTCCATTCTTTATGATACACTTAGTATTTGCAAGGAGCTTATGTCTGAAGAAGTTCTTGATGATACCATTCCAGATCTGATTAAAATCATTAAGAAAGGAGTAGGATTATCTACAAGAGCTTGTGCTTGTAACTTTATTATTGAGATATCCATTGAAAGGCCAGAATTATTTAAGCTAAAATTTGCCAAGAAGGTGTTTAAGTCATGTATAGACATTCTTGCAAATGCAAAATCATGTAAAGAAAGCCTTCTCAAAATTGTGTGCAGATTAGGAGGTTCATTATTCAGAGTAATGTCGAAGTCATTCAAGACTATTCAGGACTCTCTTGACGACATTAACTCTAAACTTCTTTCGAAAGTAGACAAATACGATGAAATGATAGGATTTGGACTCGAAAAATACTGGATTGCTTACCTGCTGATTATTAGAGAAGCTATTAAGAACTTGAAGGATTTAGAATTGACTCAAGAGAAAGGAGCTATTATCCAGCAAGTGATTCCATATGTATTTGCAATTAAAAATAACACACTTGAGGATGAGAGCAAAAGAGAGCAGATTAAGAAACTTGGAAATGGGATATTTAAAGATATATTTGAAAATAGGATTTCTATTCCTGTTGAAGCATTTGAAGATGATATATTGGGCCATATTAAAGCCTTGTTAGACTCATCCAATTTCATGATTAGAGCTAATGGGTCAGCTGCCTTGGCGGATCTTTGCGAGCATACAGATGATAATAGTTTGTTACAAAAATTGAAAGACAAGAAAATTATTGATTTGCTGATTAATAAGAATATTGGAAGCAATTACTTTACTGATTATCTTGGCCATATCAGAAAAATAATATCTTTCGGAGTTGGAGGAATAACAGGAAAATATGTTAGGGCTAACTCTCTTTTGCTTGAGAAAGTTTCTAAGAAATTAGTAACCAAACTTTCAAATCAACTGAGTAAATCAGATTTAGATATGAAATATAAGAAAGAAGCAGCCCTACTGATGTCTACAGTTGGGAACATCATTTTCAGACTTCTTTCATTAGACTACGATACAGAAGAAGATAAGAAACCCATTCGAGAAACCAGCAAGAATTATTTCAACAATTTATTTACTCTTTTACAGGGGAATTATGAGTCAGAAGAAGCTAAGGAGGAAGAAAAAGAAGAAGTTAAGATTGATAGTCATGTAAAACAACCAGATATTAAGAATAAAGACATAAGGAGTGTAAATAAGCAAGCATTAGAATTCCACCAGCTTATAGTTGAAGCTTTAGCATATTCTCATGATCAAGAGCAGATCCATCAGCAATTTGAGTTATACCAAAAACTTTACTTCTCAGTATCCAGAGAGATGAGGTTAGGAATTCTGAATAATCTCCAAGTTTTGTTCGAAATTGTCTGAAATTCTAAAACTGTAGTCAGAGAACTTGTTGAGGAAAATAAAACTCTCAAAATATTTTTGCTGTCTATAGTAGGATCGACGCAAGAGAATCTTCTCCAACTTTCAAAGATTTTAAGAATCTTGGTTGAATCTCTAAGCCAAGAATCAGAGGTCAGAGTCAAAATCCTTGAAAATATAGATGAAATATTTGCCTCCAAAGTTAAAGAAGATAAGAGGAATAAAAAGAGAGAACAGATGAGGGAGGAACAAGAAGTCGATGACTCTGGAGCTATCAAGATTGCTTCTTCACAACATGATAAGCTTAAGGAAGAAAATAAAGTGCTGACAATGATAATGCAGAACTATTACTTAATGAAGAATTCTCAATAATACTGTGTTTCAACATATAGTCTTAAATTTGGGGTTTTGGGGTTTTGGGGTTTTGGGGTTTTGGGG